TTAGCTGCGTAACCCACATCGCAACTCCCACATGTGCGCCTTGGAAGCCTCTAAAATCGATCGCACTCGAAAGTCCTACTCTGGGATTTCGTCATCCGCTCGTGACGAGTATTGTCAATCGTAGTTACGGTACGGTTTCGCGGTACCGCTCAAGCGAAGGTGGAAGGAACTGTCGATCAAAAAAAAAAAAAAAAAAAAAAATGAATGAATGAATGAATGAATGAAAGATCGAACGTAATTCCATTTCGAATAGTCGTGATCCAAACTTCTGTGATTCCCCATCTTTCTTTCTTTCTTTCTTCCCGACGCAGTCAAAGTCCCCAATAATCTAATCCTGAGCTCTACCTATGTTCTACGCCGATAACCCTACAGCTCCTAGTAGTACAGTCTACACCTCCTAGCCCGATCGAGCCGATCCGAGAGGCGTAGACAGTATACCAGACGCGTTCACGCACGGAGGTGCAGGTGGTGGAGCTGGTGAGCAGTAGCTTGGCAGATGGAAAAAGGGGGATCGGAAAAAAGAGAACGGGAGGAGGCGTGTGATCGTTTGTTTGTTTGTTAGAGAAGAGATTTCCGGATACGGAGCGAGCGGTATCGTGGACGTTTCCTTTCGGAGCTCGGGCATACTAGACGGTGGATGCGGTGAGTCAAGTTGCGAGAGAGGTACCGGTACACCATGTCGTCTCTGGGTGGTGGGCGGAGAGGTGACATGGAGAGATATGTAGTATTTTGGAGCAATCGAGGATTGAATACCGATACTGTGAATGAGACGAAAGCGGTGATAAGTCAAAGATGAGATATATGTATATATATAAGTTTGAAAGCTGAATGAATCAAGCCCTAGACTCTGGTTCCTGGTAGAAGAAACTGAAGAACACATGAATCGATCTTACATGCCTGGTGGTGAGGGGGAAGTAAGTAAATGAACAGATGTTCGGGTATTTTCTGCTGGCCAATGTACCTAGCTACTGGGTAAGAAGAACGACAACGAGGAGTGCAGTATCTATATTTACAAATACTTGTATACAACCAAAATCAATCGATCCCTCGACGCCATGCTGCCATCTCTCGCTTCCTTTTTTTTTTAGAAAAAAAAAGAAAAAAGAAGAAACCGGTGCTAGAAGTCCTGTTTTCAATTTCAGGGGCTCAGAACTCGGTTCAGCAGCTTCCCCAACACGCCACGAACTCGTACCGGCTTCTCATGCACGCAGGCGAAGACGACAGCCGTGCTCGCAGCGAAGGCCAGCGTCTCCCGCCACTGGTTCTCCATCAGGTATCGACGCGGGAGCAGCGTAGCCAGGGCGCGCGGGGCCACGAAGAGACCGAGTTCCTTCCTCCGGGCCTCGTTCTCGATCAGCACGCTCCATCCGCAGAGGGCACAGCCGCCGCCTATGCACATCCCACCGTCGATCTGCTGCCGCGCCGAGGTTGAGGTACCGAGGATGCGAGGGCCGACTCGGCAGCGGGTGAAGCAGATGCCGTAGTAGTAGAGCGCTATGAAGGTGCTGAGGAACGCAGACGATCGCGCGGAGGATTTCAATGCATTCTTGAGCCCCTTTGAGGAAGGATTGCGTGCAGTGAGGAGGAGGTTGAGGGGCAGGTATGTGGAGAATGCCCAGGTGAAGGAGCGCACAAAGCGGGAGACGGCGTGATATTCGCAGTTCTTGCCGGTGCCCATATGCACGATCTCGCATGGATAGGGGATGCTTTTGACGGGGTCTCCGTATTCGAGTGGCAACCCATAATCTTTGCACATGCCCTCGAGGAGAGGGGCTTGGCCTGTCTCGAGGCCGTACTTGATTTCGCCGTACCGGACGCGGCGGAGGGCGAGGACAAGACGGTGGTCGACAGCTGCGGCTGACTTGATCCATTTGTTGTATGAACGGGGCAGGCGGTCTGGGTTATATACCCATGCCCACATGATGAGGGCACAAGATGAAGCAAAGATCGCAGGGTCAGCGACTGTTGTGAACAGTTTGTCGGTCTGTCGTCCGTCAGTGAGAAAATTATGAGCTGGCTGGTGTGAGACTTACAGCGTTCCATTGTCCTGTCGCTGTCCTCGCTAATTTCCGTTGGGTCCAGAGCTCTCCCACAAGTACATCAAGGGCTCGGGTCACAGCAAAGAGGGTCAAGTCCATGGTTCGACCAGCAAAATGCGTAGGCCTAGAGACTCTTCCATTCGCAGTCTCGTAGACCACATCCTCGGTGAAGTTATCGCTCTTTTTAGACTGCAGGAGCCTCAAACTAAACCAAGCGGCAATGAAGGAGGAGAGCCATCGTGTGATCCTGAGAGAACTGTTAAAAGACATATTGTCATGCAGATCGGAAATTTAAAGGATATTTTGAGGAAGCAGCGCAAGTGTACGAAAATGGATTTGAGGGATATAATTCTGACTATTGCTTGAGCGAACGAGCCGTCTTTCGAATTCCGCATCAGAAAAGCCAGGGCAGAGCTTACCTTGACTTCTGCAAAGCAGTCAAACTCGTTAAGAATTTGGCACATAGCCTCCGCAGAGGGACCTGAATCTCCCCCGTCAGCATGAGAGGGACGTGGGAGGTATAGTACGGTCACGTGCCTCAAGAAGAGTCGAGCCGCCAACAATTGCAGCGCAGAATGTAGGAAATCGTTGAAGTTCTAGCCCTCCTCTTAAGATATGGAGAAGAGAAGAGAGGAAGTAGTCATGTGGCTTTTCGTCGATAATTTTTCTCCTCCGACTTAGCTGGGTCAGAAGAAGTGTTAGCACTCTTGGTGCAGTACTCGAAGCATAGCCCAGCACGTAGGCTCGGATGACAGGTCTAAGAAGAAGGGGGATCTTCTCCTCCAGAGCTCTACCTCTCGATAGCCTCGCGGTGGTAAGCTGTACGCTCAATGGAGGCAGCTGGACCAACATGTTTATGTTGTGGCGAGCAGATCAGAGCCACGGCCCGATGTCAATTAGATGTGGCCAGCCACTTAACAGGAAAGAATGTCAGACCGATAGATGGCAAGAAGCGAGTCTAGCGGGTAGGAGATCAGAGTCTGTTGCCCTCTCTGGGATAGATAGGTGAGGTTCACGTTTTGGTCTGGTCTGGTCTGATGTATTGATGGACGTGTTTACGCGACGTGGAATATCAGCTAGAGATATCCGCCTGCCGAGGTTAGGCGAGTGGGGGGTATATTGGGGGTGGCATGGCATGGACCTGGCTTTGTGAAGTGAGACCGCAAGACAGGATGGGAGAATGAATGAATGAATGAATAGGTAAGTTGATCAGTGATGATGATGATGATGATAATAGTAATAATGATAATAGTGGTAATGATAAGAGAACTAAAACGTTACTCTCGTAGACCAGAGGTCGAAGAAGTGCTGGTCACGCGATGGACCTGGGAGCGTCTCGCGGATAAACATTTTTTTTTGACCGGATTAATTATTCTCCGCCTTCCGCCCTCCGCCCTCCGCCATCCGATCCCCACTCCCCCCGCCCTCTCAAGCCTCGCACTCCACTTCTGCTCCACCCACTCCACCTCGACCTCCACCGGAGTGAAATCGTTCTGGTTCTGGCATGTGAACAAAACATCGGAATTCGTCAAGTCTATCTTGACTATCTTGTTTATCTTGTCTATCTTGTCTTCGTATCCAATATATTCAGTCTATTCAGCCCGGCCTCCTAGCCCTGTCTAGCCCAGCCCAACCCCAACCCTCAGCTATCGATCCCAACACCAACACCAACACCAACACCAACACCAATCCCGATCCCAATCCCAATACCAAAAATCAAGAGCTCTCGCACCGTGACCGTGTGATCTCCTCTGCTGCTCTCTCTGCCTCGCCTTGCAACGGTCGGTGTTCCTGCCTAAACCCATCGGCGAAGCTACAATAATCGGGATCCCCCATCCCCCATCCCCCATCCACAGGCTGATGATGACGACGATGAGATACGGGTAACACTGGACAACGAACCTGAACGGCACTCATGCTCCTGGTTCTTCTCCCATCCCAGTATGGGTTCGTCGAAACCACAGAACCGGGACATGCCTTTCGGTTGTAGGATACCCAACCCTCATTCACTCTCTCTTCTTGCGAGATCTATGCTGACCCATCATTACAGATTCATTCGATGCCGAGTCGCAATTTCCCATTCCCTTGCCTACAGCGCCAGCCCCTGGGCACGCTCTACTCACCGAGAGTGACTTTATGTATATGGACAGCTTCTTTGCCGGACTTAGCTCGGACCAGTTTGGCTATGAATTCCTCAACGATCAACCTGGCGGCTCCGAGCTGGAACATGCATGGGATGATATACCACCAGACTTTATGGGAACTACCTCTTCGTTCGGTCAGCAGCCTCACATGGGGCCGCACCAGGTACCACCTGATACGAATTACGGAGGTATGAATCCGCCTATGCACACCGGCCCTCCCATAGCATCTTGCACATCCGCGGACGTCTTGGCTGCGGCGTCGGTATTACAAAATGGACCATTGCAAAATGGATCTGCTGGTCGCCCACCTAGTTTGGCTGATGGGGTGTTGCCTGATATATACCATCCAAACGGCCAACCTAGAGCCCAGTCGATGTCGCTTTATCCATCTAGGGCGCCAGCAGAATTTCCGCCACGGCCACATGATTACGGGCGAGACAATCTTTACACAGACATGATGTTCGGAGGGCAGCCGGACAGGTCGATGCAGCAGCAGCCAGGATCATTTCGAAAGGTTGACATCCGTTGGGGGTCAGACGCAGGCTTTAACATCGGTCCAAGTCTCACAAATCCATTCATCCAGGATAACGATGCATCCTCAGGCAACCCCTTCAAGGAAATTGTCGACAACGCACTCTCTTTAAACATACCAAGCAGTGCCGATACTACCCAACCGCCAAGTCCGTTACCCAAAGCTCGAGATAATGACGACGGACAGGATTCTAGGCCTCGAAAAAGAAGAAAGAGTAAATTCAAAGAAGATGAGGAAGAAGAGGAAGAAGAAAATGAGGAAGAGGAGGAGGAGGAAGAGGAGGAAGAAGAAGAAGACGAGGAAGGCGAAGAAGTACCCGTAGCGAGCAAGAGCGCCAAAAAGCGAAAGTCAGGCAAGAAGGCAGCAACTGAATCTCAACCTCAAGAATCCGAATCGAATCACAAGAGACGCAAGTCCACATCAGTCGCTGCGGCCAAGGCGAGGGAAAACCTCACGGATGACCAGAAGCGGGCGAATCACATTAAGAGTGAGCAAAAACGCAGAACTTTGATACGGGAGGGGTTTGAAGATCTGGGCGAGCTGGTGCCTGGACTTAGGGGCGGCGGATTTAGCAAGAGCGCCGTGCTTGTTATGGCTGCGGAGTGGCTGGAAGATCTACTTAGAGTCAACCAGGTGTTGCAGAATCGGGTTGACCAAATGGAGGGGGGTGACTGCTAGCAGGGATAGGTTCAAAATAATCGAAGGCGAAAAGGCATGCCTCTGGAGTTGAACGGGCCTTTGGGATAGGTTTGGGGGTTGGGTTTATTCTTAGGGTATACAGGACTTTGTCCATTGCTTTGTATTGCATTCGGTATAAATTATTGAGGATGGATGGATATTCGGTCTGGACTGATGGGGCCATGGTAGTACCTGGGGATCAGGTAGAAATGAGTGGAGTTGAGAATGCGGAAGATGCACATATCCCAAACCAATTTGCACATCAGATCTGTCTGCTGGACTTTGCTCACATACTTGTATACACCCATATTCTTCCGTACGGTTGGGCCTTGGCCGGCTGTCCCTCGGATCTCAGGACTTGCGTCTCTTGTCCTCTCGTACTTTTTCTACTATTCTGCTATTGAGCGTTTTGTGGATCATGGCTAAGACCGGAAACTAATAAAAATGCGGTCACCTAGGTACCTGACTTACTTCCGGCCACTACGCTAATTGGGTGCATCCGTTTAAGCTTAGGCCATAAAGAGACACCAAAAATTTGACTAGAAGCTTATCAATCGTCGGCTCGCTTAGGTAGGCCTCCTTACATATTTTCAGTCTCAATCGGCGTAAGCGATTGCGGATCGGAAGCGAATGCGGATTTTCATACTTACTATCAATTTTTATATATAAACTATAATGCGCAATATCACTTTTCGATTTACAACCACATAATGCCGTTTTACGATTAATTAGAGGCCGAAAATGCATCGATGCGAAAAAGTCTTTCGGGGTTTTTTAAATATAAAAGCTACGCTTAATTAAGTAGTCCTAATGCAATTGAATCTCGAATTTGCTGCAAAATAATAACGAATCGTTAACAAGCTCTAAAGAAGGGAAAGAGATGCTGAGTATCGCAAAGGGGTCGAATTACGCAAAGCTAAGCGCGAGCGTAAAAGGAATGTACGAGAAAGCTTTGCTGCAGGCCTGATTATCAAAGTTAATTATTTTTAATTTTCGATTCGAAAGAGATTTGGTAGTTGTAATAACCTCTTGAACGCCAGATTTTGCAGTCTTATAAAAAAAAGTATTCCTCGATCAACTCTCTTTTGACCTAACCCTTTTTTTTCGGTAGCGATGATTTAGTAATTACAACCGCTACTATCAAAAACCTTTCTTTATAGCAAGAACTTGTTTCTTTTCCGTAGTTTTAATATCGATAGCGATAGCTTCAAATCTAATAATAATAGAGATTCACACGATTTATTGCGTAAGGTAAAAGACGAATCAGATTTTAACAAAAACAATAATCGATATTTTAATATTTAATTAGATCATACGATTCTGGATTCTTCGAAAGGAGATATACTCGTGGATTGATTATTTACATGATATTTTGTAGTTGCAGTAATAATTACTATAATATAAAGAAATTTCCAATATGTTTGCAAGAGAAACTTCAGCGTGAGACGTAAACATTCGTATGGCGAGGGACTGATCGCCCAAGACTTTTTAACGTCGAAAAGGTCCCTTCCGTATTCGATGCCAGTCTTCTAGAGGGTCTTTTATCGATGACGGTCGCAAGCACGCCGTGCAGCTGAACCACCAGTGGCCAATACTGTTCCTTGAAGGTAGAATGCCAGAAAATATAAATTCTGGACATTCGACGAACGTACTTGGTAACCGTACTCAAGCTGCTATTGCAGCGTATCTTTGTTGCTCGTCTATCCTGAAGCCTCGGCCTCGTGGTTTTCATCAATCTTATTTTCAGAATGAACGTGACTTTCGTGCCGCAACAATATAGAAGAGGTCATACAGACACTAAGTGGGACTGTGAAAAGCAAAAGTACGGTGATTGGGTTTGGGGAGGGGGAGGGCGAGCTTCTGGAAGAGGACGGTGGATGTGGCAAGAATGAAAACATCTTAACGACGCGAGGGCCTTGGTTTCTCAACTTATCTGGTTTTGGTGCCGGGAAGTAGGACAACTGTTCGCGAGGATGTCGCTCGCTTAAGGCGGCAGTGTCAATAAACGTACTGTTTCCTTAAATCTGACTAGGCAGCAGCCTGTTTGTGTACGTTTATATATCTCTAAAGATCGGAACCACAGTCGCGGTCCTTTCAGCGGTACGACGTTCCATCGGTACGATGTCTAGTGGCCCAGTCACGGTTATCAACAAGCTCTATATATTCAGTGGAGGCCATTCTGGATTAGCGTTAGTTGTTTTGTGCATCTCTATTGATTGAGAATGACTTTCTCTTAAAGTGAGCTATGTTTGGTAGTTGCGTCGATATGTCGATATGTGTTAGGAATAGGTCCCGTGTAGGCTAGGACTGTGCTAGCGTCATGCAAGGATATATCCTCACAGAGGATGCCGTAGTCAGCTTAGTGGTCAATTCAACCAACCTATCACCCATCCTCTGCTCTAGTATCGTGATACTATTGCAATAATATGTGTTTTACTTCGTTTTGGGTCCATGTCGCAGTTGGGTTTGTATCTTGTGTACACAGAGGTGTTTATGGAAGACTTTAGCGCTCATATGGCTGGTGGAAAAATATGGGTGAAACTAAATCGATGCCGATCTATCCTGTTCAGCAGTCACGGAGACTCACTTGTGAACTTTTATACGAGCGGCCCTGCCGAGCAAATAGGCGATCGCCGACGATCTTTGCCTTCACTTACCACGGTACAGGCCT